ATATAATATATATATATATATATAGCTTACTTTTGTTTTGGTGATGGATCACGTAGATGGAACAGCTTGTAGATATTTTTTATATTCAAAACTTACTAAATATCAACAATAGCCTATAAATGATTAAATTATACTAGACTACTAATATCTAAAGATATAATATATATATATATATATAGCTTACTTTTGTTTTGGTGATGGATCACGTAGATGGAACAGCTTGTAGATATTTTTTATATTCAAAACTTACTAAATATCAACAATAGCCTATAAATGATTAAATTATACTAGACTACTAATATCTATTTATTAGCAAGTGTGAAAATGAATCGTTGTTTTCCCGAAATATAGGATATTATAAAATACCAAAGGCATTGTAATATATGTACACATAAGCAATAAAAATTGGCAAAGATGTACTAGCTCATTTCGTCGTAATTTTAGTGGTCAAAGTTTGCAGTTGGCACCCACATATTCAATCTCCTGCGTCTTTGAACAGAAAAGTCTAGGATTTGCTTTTAGACTCCCATGATCTTGATCTTGAAGAATTAAACCTCAATCACCTAATTAAAATTTACATATTTTCCAACATTATAAATCATGTCACTTCTTTTCTCATAGAAAAGTCAACCCTTGACATTTTAATGGGATGTTTGTTTTAGGGTTCGTCTTTAGTTCGGAATTATAGTTCTTGATTTTTTACAGTGTTTTTCTCTCACGAAAAATTTAAATTTTAAAACTAAAATCGTAAATCATAGTTTTGAATCCATGAACCAAACATCTCATAAATTTCTTTACTTTCTTGCAATTATATTCTCCAAACATTTGTCATCCTATAGACATATATAGTATGACCTCTATAATGAACAATTGATTATTAATTATTTGCAGGAAGTATGGACACTCTGCCGAATATTCAAACGAATCCCATCTTACAAAAAGTACAATATCCCCAAAGATAATAATAATCAAAATTGCAAAGAGAGTACCACACCCGGAAAATCATCATCATCATCAAAAATATCATGTCCAGTTGACGATTCAAGCTCCAAAACATGCAGCTTCGAAACTGACTACAACGACCCTCATCAGGTAAGGTTGGAACTAGATCACTCTGATGATCATCAAAATCAGAATGTGCAATTTTTACAACGCAAGGACAAAAGATCATCAAAACCTACAGTTTGTTCGGATCATCAACAACCTGATCTTGATCGAACGAATCGCGGAAGCTGGTTTCATAAAGGGCACCTCTGTAATAACAATATCAATTTTCCTCTAGCTGCTCATCAGCAATATCTTCATCATCATCAAGGTTCAATATTCCCGGGTTCTTATCCGAGCTTTAATATGAACCCTAATGCAGCGGATCATGATTTCTTTACAAATGGCAGCTGGGATGAGCTCAGATCAGTGGTACAGCTAGCCGTTGATCGTCACCCATCCCAACTTTATGATGTTACAGATAAGTCATAACATTATGTATACGATATGATCTGGCCATACATATACAGGAAATAATTTTGTATGGCACTTAAAAGGAAACTTGCTAGCTTTCCTCTTATTCTGTTTTTTTTTTTTTTTTAAATAATTTCTACGTGATTTTGCAGATATATATACATACTCATATATATACACATATATGCCTTTGTTTAATTAGTACGCCGCGATGATTTGTAGTCTATGTTGCACTATATTAATCAATATATATAAGAATCAAAGCAATACACTACAGTTTATTGCTGCGCAGCAAATAAAGACTTATAAGATGAAATTTGTGTCTTGTTCAATATTTTCATACGAACATATCTATATATTTTAGTTAGGTTGTTTTTATCTATAACTATTCAAATAAACGTTGTTCAAGCCCATATAATTAATAGGGTGAACTTAATTACAATATATTATAATGTACAGTACTTGAGTTTTTTTTTGACGTTTAAGGTTTTGCATGAGTCTGTGCTCAGAATATTGTTCATATACAGTTTTATGATATTTTGAATTTGAAATTTGATACACACAAAAGTCATATCGCTGTTGGATAGTGTTGACTCGCTAAATTTTGACAAAACAGGGAAAATGATTAATGTTTGAGACACCAACTCGAATCTCAACTCTTGTGTATCAACAGACGTGCATGAGTTGTCATATTTACATTAGTAGGTGTTTAAAACATTATAACGTCAATTAATAATAAAGATTGCATCTATCAATAAACAGAGGACAACTCACATATCACATCAGTTGATATATAAGAGTTGAGATTTAAGTTGGTGTCCCTGACATAATTCCAGGTAAATATTTTGGAAAATATAAGTTATTAATGTCCTCCATAATATATATTACTAAAAAGCAATATCAATTTATTTGGCCTTGGCCTTACGAATATCTAATTTGAAGTTTGGTAGCATGCTCTCGTGGACTTTTTTGAATTGATTACACCACAAGCGTAAGAGCATATCTAACCAAAATTAAGAATACAAGGGATGCAAGTTATCCAAAATAATTAATATTTTCTTCTTATACCAGAAGTCAAATTAACAAAAGTTTGACATTGAGAATATTGGACGTTCAATTCAATTTGTTTTTGAAGTCTTGGGAATCCGTTATTTCTCTCAGAATGATCATAATTGACAAAATAATTAGTAGCTGAGGAAAATGTATTTGCACTCCAAGAGAATAAAACGAAAAATTGTGGACCATAAAACTTTACGGATTTGTAGAAGCTAGATATTGACAAAAGATTATCAAATTGAAAGTGAAATTCATAAGTTTTTGTGGCTGAAATAGGGCGAAAATAATTTATGCATTTAGTCTTTAGCTTGGACTCTTGGATCATACATCAGCCAGTTTGTTAATATTAAGATTTGGAAGAATTGTTGTTAGCCGTGGTGAAGGGAAAAACATCTCAGACATAAAGCAATTGAGTGTACAATAAATGTAAGTTTCAAAGTATTATTAGTTCCAAAAGCAATACATAATTTTTGGTAACACGGTAAGGTTACCATTGTAAGTGGTTAAAATGATCAAAATGACATGATAAGAAAATAAGAAAATTTAGATATATTAAATATTGATTTTTATCATAAAAATACTTATTTTAATCCTAGTTTTGAGGGAAAATTATTTTGAACATGCATTAACAAATTTGTAAAGTTATTCATCACTTTCTCAATAAGGTTTAGAGTACTAATGATAGGTATTTTTATTTTTTTCATTCACAATTTATATTTACATCAAAACAATGGCAAAAATGACCACGATTTCTGACCAAAGGAGGGCAAGGACAATGGGCGGCGGTGATTTGAAGGAGTTTAGGGCCCGTTCGGTTCGCTAATTTGAGTTTTTAATTCGAGTTGAGATGTGATGTTGTGTGAGAGCTTTTTACTGTAGTAAAAAAGTTAGATGTGACTATTTCTGAGAGCTTTTTACTGTAGCAAAACTTGAATTCTAAACTCGAATCAGCGAAAAGAACGGAGCCAGAAAGTCAAGGAGAGTAGAAAGTACTTGTTCGAAGAATGATGTGATATGTTTTATGGTTAACAAAACTCAAATGGTCATTTTCAAACTTCTTTATGGAAATTTACAATATTATAAAAGTTTCATTAGTGGTACTTAGATCATCTTTAAAAAAGCTCTTTAAATTTTAGTTAAATTCTAATTAAAATGGTTAGAAAGCTATTTTAGTTAGCAACTTTTTAGTGAGTCACTCCAATCATATATCTATTTTAACTAAGTATATATTATTTTAATATTTATTGTGTTTAAAAATATGAATAACTTTATTGAATTTTAAAAGAACCTTTGCATTTATTATGGTTTGAAACAATAAAATAATACAAAAAAATTAAATAGTAATCACTTCTTGCTAGCTATATTTAGCTAATGCAAAATGGATTCTCCGAAATAGCTAACCATTTAGCTAATTCTTGGAGTGGAAAAAAACTAAATTTTAGCTAAATCATTAGTCATTTTAGCTAAAAATATGAAATAACTAACGTGATTGGAGTTGCTCTCACGGAAGAAATCGTGGTCAAGCTAAAAGGAGAAACAACCTTTTAACTGCTTCTCAATTTTCATTGTCATTGATATTTCTCGACTTTCTTTTTTGACATCAACTTTGTTTTCTTTTACTTTAACTAATTCTCTTTTTTTTAAAAAAAAAAAAAAAAAAAAAAAAAAAAAAAAGAAAGAAAAATCGAGATAAAATAGACAATTTTAATTGTCATTGATTTTTCTCATCTTTCTCTTTCGACGTTAACTTTAATTTTTTTTTTTACTTTAACACATTCTCTTCAAAAAAGAAAAAATAAAAATAAAATATAAGTTTCGTCTCTCTATCACTCTCACTTACGTTTTATATATGCACTATCATGGAGCATTTCTTTTCCTCCATGCGATTCTAATGATGCGATCTTTACTCCTCCAAAAAAAAAAAAAAGGCATGAATATTGAACCACAAGTCCACAACTATCTCATTTGCATCATTGCCCCAAATCTTTACACTCAAAGTGCTCCCAGTAAAAAACTACTATATCTTCTATATCTTTCCAACGAATAGAATAAATTTGCCAATTATTCAGTTACCCACAAAACCAATTATTGATTTTCAACCAATTATTCATTTGTACAAAACTAAAAGTAAAGCAAATGGAAATTTGATTTTAAAAGAAAAAATCAAATCACCCACAAAACCACAATTATAATTTCTACAAATGAATTTTTGTTTGGTGGGCATGTGTTTGTGTCTATAGAATAGATTTAGAACAAAGTATGACATAGACTAAAAGCCCCTTCTCCAAATAAAAAATAAAAACACAACAACAACAACAAAACAAAAAGAAAAAACAAATGTGTTAGATTTTTTTTTTTTTTTTTTTCTGGAAATATGAATGTTGATACCTTTTTATGTATAGGTTTCTTCAATATATGTCGCAATTGTTCCTTGTAGAGTGAAAAAGACGATTGTCAACACAATCAAATTCCAAATTTCCACAAAAATCTTTGCCGTAGGCTCATTTATACAAATAGGTGTAACGCTTCTGGTTAAGGTCTCAAGATACAATCGGGATATGTTCAAATCCTACACAACGAAGAAGCCTCAAATCAACCTGTTAAATTTATGGAATTAAAGGAATAGCTACACCAAGAAGGTTCAAATTTATCCTATAACTGACATTTAAATAATTTGTGAATTCCTACGTTCTGTGACATCTTTTTTGCTTTATGAACCAAATTACAAGCTTAGTTTTATGGTTGATTAAAGGAGTTGTTCCCTTGCCCATGAGGGTCGTTGGCTGGTTCACTAACAACAGAAATATCCAAGCTGCTTGCTTCTGCCTCTGGGGATATTTCTCTAACATCAGCTATCCTTGATTCTGTCGCTTGAATATCGCTCCATCCGCCTTCTCCAACCGGCTGAAGATTGACTTGATCGCTTGCCATGTGGACCACGTTCTCCCCTGATACCGAAATTGCTTTAGAGACACTGAGGCACGCTTTATCAACATTTTCTTCGGACAAATCCACATGTTTTGTCAGGGGAAGAGCGTGTTAGGTGAAGAGCGTTGCCTATATCTGAGTGAGACTCAATCTTCTCCTTGAAAACTTGCTTCGTTTCAATATGCTGTCTATAAAACAAGAAAAAATTCATAAATTCATAGTCCACAAGCACTCATCGCTAACTGCTAATTGAAAAGGAGAATTGACAAATAAAATGTTTTGTTTGAACTCTCGGAAGAGTAGTTTCATGTAACACATAAGAGGGGAGACAAATGACATAAATGCATTAACAAAAATATCCTAAACAAAACAATCTATAAAAAAATACAAATGGTAAATTATAGTACGATAATTATAAGAAGCCTAACCTTTGAAGCTGTGCTTGTAAATTATTGACATATGCCAGAAGTTCCTCCTTATCCTTTGATGCAGCACTCTCCTTCTGCATAGCCTCCTTTATTCTACCTGCAACACCTGCCTCTGTAACCCTCACCTTCTCCTCCGCTCTCACAACAGCCGCTTCCAAAATCACCACACGTTCTCTAGCTTTTGCAAGTTCAGAACGCCACAGATGGGCCTCCTGAAGTGCAGAGTCTCTTTGCTTGATTAATTCGTCTCTTTCTTTACTTAATGCCTCAACTTTTCCTTCAGACTCTCTTATCTAAACAAACACATAAAAAAAATAAACAAAAATAATAAAAGAGAAATCAATAGCATAAGCAGCACCTCAATTTTTTCCCTTTCTCGAGTGATTGTGTAGAAAAATGGAGGGAGGAAAAAAAAAAAAAAAACAAAACAAACCAGGCACCACTGCTAATGATACTACACCACGATGTATCAATTATCAAGAATATATTCTCATTTCTACCTTCGATCTTGAAAAGTCTAGCTGTTTCTCTGAGTCTTTTGCTATGCACTCAATTTCTGAACAAGCAATTCGCCTTTGTTCATCCATTATATGAGCTGCAGATGCTGCAGCCTCAGCAGCTTCGGCAGTCTCAGATAATTTGTCTGCTATCTCTTTTATTGTCAAATCCCTTGCACGAAGCTCCCGAGCCAAAGTTTGTAGTTCCTCATCCTTAACCCGGAGAGTCTCCTACAAGAAGTAGTTATGCAGTCAGAATGTCAATATGGGTTAATGAATTGAAATTAATTACACTTTTGTATCAACATTCAACATTGATATCGGTAAAAAACCATCTACAGGGCCAGCATTAGGCAGGACCTTTTATGACAGCCAGAAAGTCAATATGGGTTAATGAATTGAAATTAATTACACTTTTGTATCAACATTCAACATTGATATCGGCAACAAACCATCTACAGGGCCAGCATTAGGCAGGACCTTTTATGACATACTGTGGAAAACGCAATCTATTGATTTTGTAAATAGGATATATTAGGAAAGTTTGAAATTTATATTTTGTATCCTTAGGATTAAGGTAATCAGTTAGTTTCCTGATATCCCATGAATAATGGGATAAGGTGTAATCTAGGAGATTCTACTTTTGTGTATAAAACCCGAAGAGGGCCTGCTGTATAGAATTAATTAAGAGAATAAGAAATATTTTTTCTTCTCCTATTTTTCCACATGGTATCAGAGCCCTAGATTTCCTAGGTTACTTTATTTTTTCTTAGACCTTCATTGCCGTTTCTTTCTTGGCTTTCATTGTCAAGCCTCATCATAGGGCCTTTATTGCCCATATCCATCATCACTCTCTCCAGAAGCCTTCATTGCTGCTGTTTTTTTTTTTTTTTTTTGAAGTTCCATTGATTCGCTGCCGCAACTTTGAACTGTATGGAACTGTATTCTGTTTGACACAACCGGCCTTAATTGCCTGGAGACCGCTTGGTTTGATTGAGGATGTCAGAGGTGGCAGAGATAACCGCTACAACACGGTTGGAGGATGTAGAAACCGTTAGGCCTCAACAGGTTGGGGGAATTGCAGAACGTTTAGGCCGCATATAGGCTGGATGGAAAAAACTACCTTAAATGGTCCCAACTTGTTCGGACCGTGCTGAAAGGGAAAGGAAAACTGCAAGAGATGGGGAGTCTCAGCCAAGAGGAAATCAAACGAGTAAGATCCCTTATAGACAATCTCGACAAACCGTCAGGTACTTGTTCATTGGCGTATTCAGGTGAGTCTTCATTTTCCATTGGATTAAATGTCTCAGATATAACCCTTACCGGCTCCTGGGTCATTGACTCCGGTGCTACCGACCATATGACCCACTCACCAAACATGTTTGTCTCATATACCCCATGTTCAAGCAGTAGAAAAATAACTACCGCATATGGATCATTAACCACTGTAGCGGGCATAGGAGATGTTAAAATAAGCCCATCATTGACATTAAAAACTGTTCTCCATGTTCCTCGATTGACCACAAACCTTGTTTCTGTCCAAAAGCTTACCAAAGATTCACATTGCAGAGTGTTTTTTCACCATAGTTATTGTTTATTTCAGGACGAGGGTTCGGAGAGGATGATTGGACGTGCTAGAGAATAGGATAGACTCTACCTTCTTGAAACACCTAATCAATCAAGCATTACCAAGGGCACAACATCTCACTCTTTTGTCTCAGAAGTTCTCTCATCAAATAAAGAAAAAATTTGGCTTCACCATCGCCGACTTGGCCATCCATCGTTTAGGATTATCAAAGTTCTGTTTCCTTCCTTATTTAGAGGTCTAGATATTGAACATTTCATTGTGAAGTGTCTGAACTGGCTAAACACAAATGTGTACCTTTTCCAATCAGTAATACAAGAAGCTCTATTCCTTTTTATCTCATTCATACTGATATTTGAGGCCCTTCGACAATTCTTAATGTGACAGGGGCAAAATGGTTTGTCTCATTTATTGATGATTGTACTCGAGTCACTTGGATATTTTTGCTTAAACAGAAATCCGATGTCAGTAATGTTCTTCCAAATTTCTGCTCTATGGTAAAGACCCAATTTGGGGTCAATATCAAGAGATTCATATCCAACAATGCTAGGGACTATTTCAATCAAGTCCTCACTCCATATTTCCAAAAAGAAGGAATCATCATGTGTCAATACTCCAAATCAAAATGGAGTGGCAGAAAGGAAAAATGGTCATCTTCTCGATTCCACCCGATCCTTTATGTTCCAAAAAAATGTGCCTAAATCCCTTTGGGGGGAAGAAGTTCTTACATCTGCACATCTTATAAATCATTTGCCTTCTAGGATTTTGGGTTTCAAAAGTCCAATGGACGTGCTTTCCTCATTCTATCCAAATCTTAATCTGGTTCCTAGGATATTCGGGTGTGTGGCATTTGTCCATATCCATACTCTAAGCAGGGGGAAATTAGATCCAGGGGCAGTCAAATGTGTTTTTGTGGGCTATTCTTCTACTCAGAAATGATACAAATGTTATCATCCTCCCTCAAAAAGGTTCTATGCCTCGGTTGATGTTACTTTCCATGAAGACAAATCCTATTTCAATGATCCTCATCTTCAGGGGGAGAATTCACTAGTGGAAGATAAGGACAGGGGGGATTTTCTATCTCTTGATCTCCATCCATCAAAACCCGAGTTTCCCCAACCTCACTCTCCTGAACCCGAGCCTCACTCCACTGAACCCGAACCTCACTCCACTGAACCCGAGCCTGAACCCGAGCCTGACAACCTAAATTCTGCCATTGAGAATGTAAGATTTGGCAAAGGCAAAGTGTATTCAAGAAGGAAGAAGGCTATCCCGGAATCTGTGCAAGTTCAAGACTCCAACCCGAGCTCTGGAAATGAGGTAACAATTTCTAATCCTTTTTTTGAAACCTACATGAATAATGATAATCAGGATCTTCCCATTACCATTAGAAAAGGAGTTAGAGAATGTATAAGCCGACCTCTATACCCACTTGCACAATTTCTTTCTTTTGAAAAATTCTCACCATCCCATCAAGCCTTTCTTGTCAGCCTAAATACTATTGCGATCCCTACCAATTTGTCTGAGGCTTTAACTGATGAAAAATGGAGACAGGCCATGAATATGGAGATGAAAGCATTGGAGAAGAACAAAACTTGGGAACTTGGGAACTTGTGAAATTGCCTAAAGGAAGAAACCAATGGGATGTAAATGGGCTTACACTGTGAAATATATGGCAGATGGTTCAATAGAAAGATACAAGACGAGGTTGGTTGCTAAGGGGTATACCCAGACCTATGGGATTGATTACCAAGAGACATTCGCTCCGGTGGCTGAAATGAATACAATAAGAGTTTTGTTATCATTAGCAGCCAATTATAATTGGGAGCTACAACAGTTTGATGTCAAGAATGCGTTTTTGCACGGAGAACTAGAGGAGGAAATCTACATGGAGGTTCCACCAGGTTATGGTCATAACTTAGCTACATACACAGTATGTAGATTGAAGAAGGCCTTGTATGGATTTAAGCAATCGCCGCGAGCATGGTTTGGAAGATTTGCAAAGGTAATGACAGCTATGGGATATCGGCAAAGTTGGGGAGACCATACATTGTTTGTCAAACACTCAGCTTTAGGGGGAGTTACAGTCCTCTTAGTATATGCAGCGTCTCAATCGATGTTTAGCTAAAGAATTTGATATTAAGATGCTAGGAAGGCTGAAGTATTTTCTGGGAATCGAGGTAGCTCATTCCAGGCAAGGTATTTTCATCTCACAGCAAAAATATGTTACAGATCTTCTCAAAGAAACCGGGAAGACCGCGTGCAAGCCGGCAAGCACTCCAATAGATCCAAATTTGAAGCTCGGAGAAGCGGAAGAAGATGTCGCAGTGGATAGAGAGATCTATCAACGCTTGGTGGGGAAACTTATCTATCTATCTATCTCATACTATGCCAGATATAGCATACGCGGTAAGTATGAGTAGTCAATTCATGCATAATCCGAAGGAGGCACATCTACATGTAGCATACCAAGTATTGCATTATCTCAAAGGGACACCAGGCAGAGGTATTTTGTTCAAAAGGAAAGGAGGAGTAGTGCTTGAAGCGTATACAGATGCAGACTATGTTGGGTCAGTGGTAGACAGAACGTCAACTTCCGGTTATTGCACTTTTATTGGTGGAAACCTTGTGACGTGGAGGAGCAAGAAACAGAATGTTGTAGCTCGTTCTAGTGCAGGGGCCGAATTCTGAGCGATGGCTCAGGGTGTGTGTGAATTGCTATGGTTGAAGATTATTTTAGAAGATTTGAAGATTAAGTGGGATGGCTCAATGAGACTCTGTGACAACAAATCTGCAATCAGCATAGCTCACAACCCAGTACAGCACGATAGAACAAAGCACATCGAAATCGACATCTACACAGGGTCAACTTGCTGATGTACTCACGAAAGGACTTAATAGTTCAGCCTTTCAGAATCTTGTGTCCAAGCTGGGAATGGTGAACACCTATTCACCAGCTTGAGGGGGTGTGTGGAAAACGCAATCTATTGATTTTGTAAATAGTATATTGTTAGGATCCTAATTGAGTCCCACATTGCTAAAGTATGGGCTTAGCATGTGGGTTTATAACCACTTGGGCACCCTCTCCCTACAAGCTAGCTTTTGAGGATGAGTTCTACCCAAGGGTTATAACAATTGGTATCAGAGCATGCTCCTCCTCAGGCCCACGTTGCAGAAGGGGCGACCTGAGGAGGGGCGACCTAGAAAGGCCAGAGTGGGCCATCCAGAGTGGGCCACCGTGGACGTCGGTGTCAGAAGCGTGGTGGTATGTTAGAATCCTGATTGAGTCCCACATTGCTAAAGTATGGGCTTAGCATGTGGGTTTATAACAGCTTGGGCACCCTCTCCCTACAAGCTAGCTTTTGAGGATGAGTTCTACCCAAAGGTTATAACATATATATTAGGAAAGTTTGAAATTTATATTTTGTATCCCTAGGATTAAGGTAATCAGCTAGTTTCCAGATATCCCATGAATAATGGGATAAGGTGTAATCTAGAAGATTCTACTTTTGTGTATAAAACCCTAAGAGGGCCGGCTGTATAGAATTAATTAAGAGAATAAGAAATATTTTGTCTTCTCCTATTTTTCCACACATACGAACAGTTCTTAGCTGGTTATGAGATGGGTGCAACGCTGAACTTTTCAAGAAGAGATAATTTTATCGCAAAGCTTTTTTGTTTTTTGGTCAACTACTTCTAGAACTAAATATTTTTGGCAACAGGTTCTCTTGGAATCTTTTGATGAAAAAGGAACCGAGGAATCATCAGTGAATCAGCCCCCCGCTAATCCAGTCGCTTCCCCGGAGGAGGCAGCTAGTCCCCCGCACGTGGTCCCCTATCCGTATCAACCGGATGAAGAGCCTTAGTCCCTACCACTAAAATCAACAATAGATTATTGAAATTTAAAGGAGGTAGACACACCACCATCAAGTGGTATTTGCAAATTTGCAAAAATTCCCCAGCATAAATTACTAATAGATATTAGAAACTAGATAGAGGTAGTCACATGCTCGATGCGTAAAAACTTGGAATTTCACAAAACTAAAATTATAATGCGCAAAATTTTCTAATTTTTAAAGATTTTCGAGGGCATGCTTTAATATAATTTTGCACAATGTGACCTTTTTTGTAAACTTTCAAGTATCATGTGATGGACATGTGACTTTCTTAATTAAATTCTTAAAATTCCATGGTCAATTTTGTGGCCAAGGACCAAAACTGCCAAAAATCTGAGGTTGGGGACTAATTGAACCACAAAAAGAAAAAAAAAAAAAGAGTACAGACCTAACCAAAAGGTTCTTAATTGGGACTAACAACACCAAAAAGCCCTAAAAGTTTAAACAATTCTACTGCACATTTAAATTTGTTGTAATAAACTCAAAGAGGTTTTTATACAACGAGTGCATTTAAAAATCATTGGGCAACTCAGATTAAATCAAACTATGTGTTCCATAAAACTAAATGTGAATGCAGAGTTTACACCATTAAAGAGTAGAACGGCTAAAATAGAATCACGTTTCCATATTCTAATATTGTTAATCAACTTAAAAATAAAATTTACAAACAGAAAATTAATATCTTCAACAAACTATTTTATACATTTGAGCATTGAATGTCAAATTCTTTTCATCACAAATGACGGAAAGTTTTCTAGCTTACCTTCATGATTGAAAAATCATCCATTGGCCCATCAGCAGTCTTATTTGCCATCACCACGAGAGCAGTTCTCAGAGAAATCTGCATTGCTGCTTCAACTTCTTTTGAACATTCCAAAGCAGTTGAATTGGCAGCGGCAACTACTGTTGCAACAGTTCCTAATTTCGCAGAACCATTGCCACTCAAGGAATTTACAGCCTCTTTATGGGCTTTTAGAACCAACTGCGTAGCACTAACAACCCAAAAGGAAAAGGAAGAAAATAGAATTAACGAAACTACTGGAAAAGAAAAAATGTGCAACTAATATGGTTTTAAAAGGATGTAATGCACCTTTTGGTGGTTAAAGACAAGAGGCACAGAATGAAAACCAAGTTAGGAGATCATCCACAATGGTAAAAATAGTACTGCAAGTGTTTACCATAATCTTATGCGTAATAGTTAGCCTCAATAGCATTAAACTATGCTAAAGATGTTCTTTCCATCCCACATTTACCTGTGGCTATGGTCGATGGCAATTAATAGAGACTAGATGGTTGCACAATAACCCAAAAGGTCAGACTAAGACAAAGGACATGAAAGCCTCGTAATCAAGACTGAACAATAAGAAGGACAAAAGGTACAAAACCTAATTAACTGGCTTCTAAACACAATCCACGGGAGAGAACCAACTAGTAGAGTGTAGAGATACCATATGGATTCTTTTAAAATGAGAGAATATCTTTCAGCAGGAAAATTGATAAGAAGGTGATGAATCTAAAACTTAAAATGTGTCTCATGAAATAGAAAGATTGAAATTATAGAGCTCTTCTCTCTTCTCTGTTCCCCATCCACAAGTATGAAAGTGATCTCAAGTACATATGTTCTGTATTTTCTGATTTTAAAGCAGAGAATACTAACTTCAATAACATGTATACCAAATCCAAATTCTAAACATCTGAGAGTATTTCTAAAAGAATAATAAATAACAGATGCAGAAAAAAAATTTGATATAAGGAAAATGCAATCACACACTGGTTTCATAGAACTGCTTAGCTTGGATACCGATACTGCAGAATGCAGATTGCAGAGGAAGAGAACTCACTGCAAAGTTGATACCCAAGCTCTAGCTGCACCAGGTGTCTCTGCACACAGAAAGTAGTCTTTCTTTTGTGGGGTTCCTATGTCTGTATAATGTAGTTAAGAAAGCCTGCAAGTATAGTGTCTGATCCAGCTAAACAAATGTTCAGTATGAAACTAAACAAAAGAGAAAGCCTGCAAGTATAGTGTCTCATTTCATTCCACTTCCGAACAATTCATAGCAGATAAATAAGGATACAGAAACAGCAGCCATCATACTTTGGCAGCCCACTAAAAAAAACAAAAAACAAAAACAAAAGAGAAACAATGTCATTGTACTGGAGTTATAGCAATCACATAAACTATAGTTGATAGTGAAGAAAGGGCTCATCCAGAAAATAAGAATCTTACTGGAAGTTCACTGGAGATATGGTAATTGTGCTATTTGCATCAAATATAATGGTTCCCTTGACAGTTGGCTCATTTCTCCTAACCCTGATGCAGAAAAAGCATTAAGTAAAAGAAGAGCATAGCTTGAAGCAATAAAATCGATGCACAATTTACTTACTTATATTCCATTTTCCCAGTAGTTGGATCTAAAATCACCCACCGCTCATTCCATTTTCTAAGCTGTTAAAATGAATACATGATATATCAGCCAATTCCCAGGACAAAAAGCACTACATTTTCAACTTTGGAAATCTTCAACAAAGTCTAAGAAAAAAAAAGTTCCAAAATAAGAATGTAGCATTCAACTACCAATATCCATACACAGTTATGTTAGTCACAATCTACATAAGCAGTATTTATTGGGCTATAAGCATTTGATTTTATAAGTTCCTAAGTCGGTGCCTTAACTAAGTCGGTGCCTTAATTGACGAGATAAATTCTCAATAAGAGCATAACAGAACCAGATTTCACAAATCTCAATAATCGAGGGATATGATCAAAGCTGTTATAATCAAACATTAAGCTTAGTTGAAAAAATAACAAATTGATTAATCTGCTAGACTCAAAAACTCCGAACTGTCTCAGTAACAATTCAACAAACCCTGTGCTCAATTTCATCAATTATTAGAGGTAGAATCACGGACGATCAAAAATCAATTGCTTTAGAAAAGAGAGGGTTTTGGGATCGTACTGTTTCGGAGCGCTTGAGAAGTGGACCTTGCAGCAAATTCCGACCAGAACCTGAAGCCAATTGGCGCTTGATCCTCTCCAAGCTGTTCTCGGCATCCCCAGCCCTCTGCTACATCGGAATTGACCACTCCGCAGATCAAATATACAGAGAGAAAATGATCAACAAATATATAGATACACACACATATAGAGAGAGGACTGACCGGAGAAGCACCATTGGAGGCCATGGTAGATCAGAATTGAGAAGGATCAAAAGAGACCAAAGGCGAAGTATGATTTGAGAAATATCTTGGAAATGCAAATGGTTTTTTGGTTTCGTGATATTTTCACGAGCCTGTTAGGTTTGTATTCATGGACTTGCGGGTGAAAATATATATTTTTTTTTTTTAAGACTCACTGTTTTGACATTTTGCTTCCTAGATTTAGAATAATTTTTAATTTATATGTGTTTTTTTTTTGTGAAAAATTACTATAATAAATCATAAATTATGATATAAATTATGATACGATTTCTTACTCTAAACGAAACATAAATGAGCTCGTAATGGCCTTATTTTTCAAATAATTTGCCTCGGTGATCTCAACTATTTAGGAACCGTTCATTTTACCAATTTGAATTTAGAATTCGAGTTTTACTACAGTAAAAAGATCTCAGAAACAGTCACATCTAATCTTTTTTTGCTACACTATAAAGCTCTCACATAAAACCACATCTCAACTTGAATTAAAAACTCGAATTAGCGAACTAAACGGGCTCTTAGTAGGTGACATTTTAGGGCCCGTTTAGTTCGCTAATTTAAGTTTTTAATTCGAGTTGAGATATAATTTTATATGAGAGCCTTTTACTGTAGCAAAAAAGTTAGATTTGGTTGTTTCTGATAGCTTTTTACTGTAACAAAACTCGAATCGACGAAATAAACGAGCCTTAGTCTTTTTTTTAGAATTATTTACAAATATACACCGATTGCAATAATTATTTTCTGACTAATACCATTTTTTCATACTTTTATTTTTAACATTGCTGCATTAGCAATTAAGACAGCCACAGTTAAATTATCAAAATTATCCTCAGTAAAATTGAATGTTAGATTTCAATTTCTCTCTCTTCATTTGAACTCTCTCCTTTTTCCCTCCTTCTCTTTCTCTCTCTTCATTTGAACTCATATTTTCTCTCTTTCTTTCTCCTCCCTCCTCACTTGAACAAGTTACAAATATCTCCTGAATCTCTCCCTTTATTTCAATTTACAGTTTTTTCTCTAATTCTCCTTCTCTCATTATTTAGAGTATGTTTGGTAGGAAAGAAAAGTAGAAGGAAGGAAGAAAGTGGAGGGATTTTGGGAGAGAAAATGAAAATGTAGGTTGTTTGGTAAGAGAGAAAAGAGAAAGGAAGAGAAAATAGAGTAGAAAATAATACATGTGGGTCCCACCATTTTTTTTCTTTCCACAAGTGGGTAGAAAATGGGAACAACTCATTAAAGTGAGCAAAGTTACTAAACTACCCTTTTCTCCATCAACATCCAAGCAAAAAATTTAAGGGTATAAAAGTAATTTACGAGTAAGATTTTTTCTTTCCTCCCAATTTAACTTCCAATACCAAACAAGTGAAGGTAAACTCATTTTCTCTCTATCTTCTCATACCAAACAACATAAAAAAAAATCAATTTCCTTTCCATCATTTCTATTTTCCATCACTTTCATATTTCCTTTCTATCCTATTTTCTTTCCTTCCTACCAAATATAGCATTAAGCTGCCACATTTTTTTTCTCTCCCTTTCTTTCTTTCTCCGTTCTTTCTCTCACTCTCCTCATATGAACAAGTTTCATATATTTTCAACAGGCTTTGCATCTAATACGCGACACAACCTCGTTTAAAAGTGTTAATAAAGAGCACTTTGAATTTTTTTCCCACATATATGGTAAGAAATCTTTAAAAAAAAAAAATGCATGGGTTATGATTTTGAGGGAACTAATTAGTCAAATTTGTTTCCAATTTGAATAATAAGTTGAATATCAGTTAGATTTGCTCTGTGAGCATCTTTATGTTTGCAAGACAATAATTTTTATTTACCAGGTAGTGATTATGATAATGACCAACGGTAATTATTGTTGTGACTCATATAGTAATTATCATAATTACTAGTAGTCATAATGGCGATTACGAGCATCATATGCTAAATTTATTTTTTCATGAGTGGAATTTTAATACTAAATTCACTTTCAAATTAGTTCTCTTAGATACACAATCCAAACGTTCTTTTTTCAAGGTTTCTTAATTTAGATTTATGAGTTATGTATGTTTTGTAAGATGTCGGAAGGTTAGGAGAATACCCGTTGGATTCTTGATGGAATTTGAGATCCGTAATGTAGAGGTAGCACGTAGTCAAGAGGTGACTCTTGACTTATTAGCTTACCTTTAATTTTTTCAGTCTCGGCTGGCGGATCAGTTTGAGTAATTTGCTTCACACTTTGATATTTTGAACTTTTGGTAGGAGTATGTTTGATGTTTTTATGTTTTGTTTTTTTTTTTTTAATTTTGTTTTAAAAAAACTATGAAACACAAATATGATGCTATGGTGCTAAAAAACAGCTTAGTGAATAACTTAGGCAGTTTTTATTCAAAAAAATTGATTATGATCATTACAGATATTACCAAGTGGTCATTTTAAAAATTATCGTAGTGTACCAATTCAACTACTTTGTCTTGCTGGAAGTAGGATTTCTTTACCATTTATACATCAAATGAAAAACCACCAGTAGAATCTTGAAAGAAAAAAAAATGCTTTGTGAATAACTTAGGCAGTTTTATTCAGAAAATTGATTATGGTTATTACAGAAATTACTAAGTGGTCATTTAGAAACTACCGTAGTGTGCCAATTCAACTACTTTGTCCTGTTGGCAGTAGGATTTCTTTTCCATTTATACATCAAATGAAAAAACTACCAACAGAATCTAAAAAAGTTACTTAGTGAATAATTTAGGCATTTTTTATTCAAAAAATTAATTATGTTCATTACAAAAATTACCGTAGTGTATGAATTTAACTACTTTGTCCTGTTAGTAGTAAGATTTCTTTACTATTTATGCATTAAATGTAAAAACCACCAGTAGAATTTTTTTTTTTTTAAAAAGCTGCTTAGTGAATAACATAGTTTTTATTCTAAAAATTGATTATGGTCATTACAGAAATTACCGAGTGGTCATTTCAAAAAGCACTGTAGTGTACTAATTTAACTACTTTGTTTTGCTAATAGTAGGATTTCGTTACCACTTACATATCTAATGAAAAAACCACCAGTAGAATTTATATAAAAAAAAGCTGCTTAGTAAATAACTTAAGCAGTTTTTATTTAAAAAATTAATTATGGTCATTACAAAATTTTGAGTGGTCATTTTAAAAATTACCGTACCAATTTAACTACTTTATCATGGATTTACACAGTTCTCTAGTTAATAAAGAGCACGTTAACCTTTTTCTCAACAAAATTTGTACAAGAATGTTGTATGGCACAATATTACAAGAATGACCATGATGTTTACACATTTGAATTCATGGTCAACTTTCAATTTACTTGACAAATAAAAAACGCGCATGTGTCACCATAACCATGACAAAAGCACGCTATTGCGTTGAGGTTAGACATCTGCGGAAGCCAACTACTAGAGAAAATCTTCAGTTCCTTAGAATTTACCTCTTACAACTGCACTACAGTATACACTCTATTATTCTTCTTTGCATGATAAGTCAAACAAGATGAACAAATACATGAGTCAATAGGCTGAAAAAATACACAATTAGAAAATAAAAGAAAATGGAAAATAGACTTGCACAAAAACAATTTATGTTTATATATATAATATATGTTTTTAGGGGGTGTATTTAATGGTTTTTTCTTTTCTTTTTTCAATTTTTAGCATTTTTGTCGGCGTTTTAGGTTTTTTAAATGTTTCTAGGGTTTTTTTGGAGGTTTTTTAGGGTTTTTAGGATTTCTTAGGGTTGTTTAGGCTTTTTAGGCTTTTTTACGGCTATTTAGGGTTTTTTAGAGTTTTTTAGGGGTTTTTTTTTTTACAGTTTTTATGGTTTTTTTAATGAGTTTTTAGGGTTTTTTGGGGGTTTTTTTAAGGTTTTTAGGGTTCTTTAAGGGTTTTTACGGGTTTTTTTGGCTTTTAAGTGTTTTTTAGGGTTTATTTAGTGTTTCTAGGGTTTATTTAGGGTTTTTTGCATTTTTAGGGGTTTAAAGGGTTTTAAGGCTTTTTAAGGTTTATTTAGGTTTTTCTGGGTTTTTAGGGGTTTCTAGGTCTTTTTTTAGGGTTTTTAGGTTTTTTTAGGGTTTATTTACTATTTTTCTAGGGATTTAGAGCATTTTTAAGGTTTTTTAGGATTTTAATGGTTTTTTATGGTTTTAGGTTTTTTAGTGTTTATTTAGGATTTATTTAGGGGTTTTTGGGTTTTTAGGGTTTTTAGGGTTTATTTAGGGTTTTTAGGGTTTGTATGGGGTTTTTAATGGTTTTTAGCATTTTTGTCAGCTTTTTTAAATGTTTTTAGGGTTTTTTGGAGGTGTTTTAGGGTTTTTAGGATTTCTTAGGGTTGTTTAGGGGTTTTAGGATTTTTAGGGTTTTTACGGCTATTTAGGGTTTTTTAGAGTTTTTTAGGGTTTTTTTTACAGTTTTTACGGTTTTTTTATTTATCAGTTTTTAGGGTTTTTTGGGGGTTCTTTTAGGGTTTTACGGGTTTTTTGAGTTTTAAGTGTTTTTAGGGTTTATTTAGTGTTTCTAGGGTTTATTTTGGGGTTTTTTGCATTTTTAGGGGTTGTAAGGGGTTTTAAGGTTTATTTAGGGTTTTCTGTGTTTTTAGGGGTTTCTAGGGCGTTTTTTAGGGTTTTAGGGTTTTTAGGTTTTTTTAGGGTTTATTTACTATTTATCTAGGGATTTAAAGCATTTTTAAGGTTTTTAGGATTTTAATGGTTTTAGGGTTTTTTTAGTGTTTATTTAGGATTTATTTAGGGTTTTAAGAGTTTTTTAGGGTTTATTTAGGGTTTTTATGGTTTTTTTGTGGTTTTTAGGGGTTTTTAGGGTTTTTTAGGGTTTGTACGGGGTTTCTAATGGTGTTTAGGGTTTTTAGCGTTTTTGTCGGCGTTTTAGGCTTTTTTAAATGTTTTTAGGGTTTTTTGGAGGTGTTTTAGGGTTTTTAGGATTTCTTAGGGTTGTTTAGGGTTTTTAGGATTTTTTGGGGGTTCTTTTAGGGTTTTTAGGGTTCTTTAAGGGTTTTTAGGAGTTTTTTGGGTTTTAAGTGTTTTTTAGGGTTTATTTAGTGTTTCTAGGCTTTT